TATGGGTCGGTATCTTCACACGCATTTTATACAAATTTGAAACTATATTCGAGAATAACCGTAGAGGTAATCATCTGTTGTGCATATTGACGGACAGATATAAATAACCATCCAAAAATTCTCAAGTGGGAGGAGTGGCATGTTCAACCCCAAAGGCTCTGCTGCTCAACTGTGATGAAGTTTAGTTATAAATCGTTTTGAGCAATCCATGCACGTTTGAGGAAATAGTGAGATCATCACATTTGAGCAGTCAACTGTTAATTTGTTGGAGCTAAAAGATAACGAACTAACAAACTTTGTGATCCACAAAGACTAAACACGTCTGCCTTGAAATTAAATTCCTTTTATGTAGCCGAAGAGAAAATTCCCTGTATTCCAAGATATGTATTTTGACATACCTCTAAGAAATCCGATTCTCTCGTTGTGTACTCAAGGGCTTGAAGCACTCTCCATGCGCAGCGCCTACGAACCTCCAGGTCGGCAATCCGACGCCGATACCAACATTGAATGAGGACAGCAGCTCGAAAAGCTGAAAATGGAGATTTACAAATATTTTCTGGCTGCAAAGCAGTAAAGCTTTTAATCAACAATGTACATCTAATGTAAATTTAGCAAGCAAAGGAAAATTGAATACTTTATTGTCTTAAGAGGGTACACTAAAAAGATATCCGCTTTTTTCCATGATCTGCGACATGCTATCGGCTTGATCGGTGTGGCGCGTGGTTTTCTTCATCCATAGACGCAGAAAGTGGTGCAAATCATCTATTACGTCTTGTCATTGAAGTTCATTATGGGTGTTTTCAATGGTTCAAAACTGACTAAATGTGCAACTTCTCTACAACCATTTGAGCGGAAATCTTTCGTTCATTGAATCGTATTTGCTTTGCAATCACGCACAAGAGCCAAATAGGTTTGGAACAACCACTCATTTTCTATCCAAGATGTTAACGAACGAGAAATGGATGGTAAAATGATTTTTAGCCCATTTAGACGCACTGACTCTGCCATAGTGTTCTTTAAGAACATTTGCTACTCATCTTTACCGCGAATTTCCAAGAGTAACACTTGCACCTTCATTGATCAAATCAAAATTAATATTATGACCCGATACATCCTACGGATTTTCCCCCAATAAATGATGTGAGCCTCCAGTATCCTGGAAGAATTGGTGAAGGTTACGTCAAAAATCAAACATATCATTGACCCAGATGGTCAAAATCACTGATTCATCGTCCAAAATCAAGATTAATTTGTCCTGGACAGCGTATAATTAATTAACTTTGAGCAATGCATGGTACGTTTGCTGTCTACTTCGAGGTCACTGCATCAAGTTGGTGCAGGAAGGTAAGTTAACTTACTAAGTTTCTATCTAATCCAAAGCTGTTTTCGCAAACATATTAATGCATCCCGATAAGGGAAGTCGGTAATGACACCACTAAATTTGTCAGGATGCATTTTAGCCAGAACAACAACAACGAAAGATGAAATGAAAAAAGGTGATACCATTCCATGTCTGTTACACCTGCCAGCGTCGAGCTATTACTACCTCAGTTACGGAAAGACATCCAACAGTGACCACAACGAAGGCCCTCCCGGAAAAATATATTCCGAATTGTTTGAAAAATTCATATTTCCAGATGGATAACACCAATCCACAAATCCTCATCGCGATGACGAATACCAGAGATGGGGCATTAGTTGAACTATGACAACCTATGTTTGACTATACAGTGCTTACACAATTAGGGAAACAAAGAAAAATTTCACCTCTGTGCAAAGGCAGCCGTTGTGGTGTCCCTGCTAACGACCAACCAGTCAAACCCCATCCCGAGTTGTTCGAAGTAATAAAATCATTTCTGCGCACTTTTTGATAGTGAAAAAATACAACTTAGTATCTCTCCATTCTAACACGGGTTTTGGCACAAACGATTATGTATCACTAATGTGCTTCTGGTCCAAGGGGATTTGAAAATTTAGTTGACCATGGTGAATTAATGGAAGTAGTGTACCTCGACCTTTCCTATCCATTTTGCAGTTCAGTTCAGTTCAGTTTTTACAACTATTAACCATGCACTTTCGTGCGCCGGTTTTGCAGTGCAAAACACAAGATACCACTGCGGAAATTTTACAATTAAAAAATTCCGGGACAATTACAATTGTAAGTGATACCAAATTCAACACGTCATAGTGTATGTTCCTATTCTCTTGTCACAAAACTCAGCTTCTGTACTTCCTTGAATATCAGAAACTTCCATATGCCCCGAATGAGAGGAATCTTGGTATCATCATTCAAAATACCTAAAATGTTAAATTAACTGCTCCAGGGCATCGATCATATCTCTGAGATATGTCCATTCACCAAAGCGAGTCTTTTGCAACTTTAAGCATCTGTTGCTTGCGCGTTTGCTCTTACCCTATATTTCATTCTGCAATAAGTATAGTGCTTAAAGTTTTTGATGCACAAACACAATTTTGCTTTAGAATTATTATAAAGGGAGCTCGTCAGAGGATGCATCAATATGAAGCGAAGTAAATGTAATTGTTGTACAAAGCAACAAGTTTGGGGTTACTTGGGAATACAGTAACCGTTAGCGCAAATATATCCTACCTCCTTCTCATACTAAGGATTTTGAGGGCTGGTCTAAGAAGCTATTATCTGTGGCCTATGTCAGTACGCCCGAATTGTTTCAAACAACGTATACCATACTAATTGATACAGAACCCAAAATATGTCCAAAATATATACACATCGTTATAATCAAAAATAGAATAAATAATTTGCACAAAAGAAAAAGTTAATTTGAACCGATGCAAAGTACAAATTTCCAGTTGTACAAGACACCTCGTCCACAATTATAACCTCCAGGAAACAACAAAACAATTACCCAAAGATAATATCATTGAAATGTAATTTCAAAAAATAACAGGCGTTATTCATTTACTCGTTTATTGCAGTTTTTTATTCTTGTTTGTAGAGCGTTCTTTATCTTGTAAGTGATTATCTGAACGAGGAAACAGCGGCTAACATTATACATACATAACCAATCTTTACAGACACGGCGCTTTCTTAAATATATGCACTAACAACAAAAGCCTAAATAAGTAAATCTCTCGACAGAGAACAAATTTCACGAATATATTTCCGAACAGCATTTTCATGAATGTGGTGCTTCTGACTGTATCATTTAGACTGTGTCGAACAAGATAAACCTTCAATAGGACTGTTGAATTGGAGCACCCTTGTCGATAGCCGCTACTGGTTTCTGACAATGTACTTAGCTCAGTGTAAAATCTGAAGCCACTGAAAATATGCAAGTGCAGAGATTTAAAAGTTTTGCACACTCCTGCGAAAATTCATTGCTAGGTGATGAGCTCATTATGGCTTTTCTGCCAACTGAATTGAAGGCTCCATTTTCATCAAGGAACACTTAAATTATTGGTCAACAGTCGGCGGCGTAACACAGAGACATGAAGCAAAATGAATCTCTGGTCGATGCAATTGTAACTTGATTGAAATCCTGTATGTCATTAGCAAATATTGATCTTCTTTGAGGATGCCAGGTGGCGAAATATCACAGGTGACATTTTTTGACAACCAGAACTAAGCTCATCCCACGGTGGTTAGTGCAGTCGTTCAGTGATCCGTTCCTAAATATTGGAACGATCGATGAATGAACACAGTAAAAAGAGAGATACTCTTTGGGCCAAATGGAGCTCACAAGGGTTCTCTCTTGCAGTTTAAAACGAATGGGTAAAACCCGTCAGGTCCTGTTGTCTTTCATTTATTTTGCGATGGAATATAACGTAGTACTTCTAGTTCTATTGGAGCTCATATGTCTTCGTTCACGTCAAAAATGACAACACTGTGTTTGTGTGAAGAGCTCCATGGGTATTTCACAGATGATAGACGTAATGGAATCCTCCAATGAATCTGATCATGTGTCTAATAGCGGCAGTCATAGCTAAAAGATAATTGCTCAATAGATTACCATTTCATTTGAAGGAGTTGAAGTTTACTATGAGCACATAGCTCAATACCTATGGATAACTAATAAGACCAGAGGAGCTGTGCAGGTTGTACACAAGGGTCATGTGCCCAAGATTTGAAGATTGATTCATCTGCACAAAACCACTGTTTCTTTGTTTTATTCGAAGCACGAGAGGTCATAACTTCAAGCCCCAACAAAATCATTCTAGGTTTGAGCTTTGTTCCATCATCTTCTTACAGCTTCATAAAAATATGAAGAAGGTTGCTGGAAGAAATGGTTCACGTTGCAAATGTAAACACCCACAGAGAGGCAGTGGATGCGTGTTGGTCGACAAGGTTCCGGGGGTTTTCAATTACACTGCAAATATCCTCATTTTTGGAAATCGAACTCAGGTGAGACGCAAAGGATACTTCTGCAGCACAAAAAAGTATTTCAGATATCAAGTCATACATGTAGCTTAAGGGTGTAAAGCATGTGCACAAATATAAACCCATATATGGGCCCCTTTATATTTGATGCATAATTAAATAAATTGCATGCAGTGAACTGATAACATTCAAAATGTATGTGAAAAAATCGTTAAACAGGTTTTGAGCACTCAGTTTTCAGTTAACTGACCTCACTTCCACAGAATTAAAGCTAATATTATTTCACAAACGTTCAGTTCAGTTTCAGTTTGAACAACCATTAACCATGCACTTTCGTGCGCCGGTTTTGG